AGTCAGAGGATAAGTTATTCAAGATTTGAGTTTTTTTCTGTTCCAATTGATGTTAAAGAATACAGAAGACAAGGAGAACTTCAAGTCCAGTCTGTACGTGATTTGATGAAACAATTGTCTTAGGACCTGCTGACACTGTAATTGGAGTTTGCATAATACAAAATCAGAACCTTATTTAAAGCAGTGTTCTTTTTATTCTGTTAAGTGTCCATTTGTTAATTTCATTTAAATAACTCATTTAAATCTTTAGTAAAAACCTAAAATCAGCAAATAGCTCTCACTGACTTCAGTGAAAGCAAGATTTCATCTCGTCTCTGTAAATACTTGTGATTGTGTGCTGCTTATTTCTTGTTTTTCTTCTCTGGTGGCTCCCTCCCTATATGTTTTTGTGGGTCTAGTGCTGCAACACCTGAAGATAGAAAAGTTTTAAGATTCAAAGATCTTGATCTCTGTGATAAAAATATTTTGTCATGTGCAATTAAATTGAGTGTTGGCAGTTCTCATTATTTTGATTACTTTTTTTCCTCTCAGTTCTCAGTGTTTTTTACTCACTTCCAAGTAAATGAGTTGAATAAAAAAGAAACCCCCAAACAAAAAAAAACCTACAAAACCAAACACTCTGAACAAAAAACCCCACAAAACCAAATAAACCCTTAATTTCTCAAAAAGTGACTCCCAAGTTTTGAAATTTTGAGATTATTGCTGTTACTAAAAATGAGTGTGATTTCTATTTTGACTCTTCTTTTGTGGGGTTTATGTTGGCTTGTTTACCTTTCAGATTGTTCTCCTGAAGTCACAGGTACAATGTGGTCCTACAGAATATTACCTTATGGAATGAGATCTGTTTGCACTCATTGTGTGTAAAATTCATGTCTGGGCAGCTGAATTTCGCAGGTGTTGGCACCATTTACATCTCTAATTAAATAAAGCCTTGCACAAGGATGAATTTCACACCATAAGAATGTGTGCGGAATGCAGTTAATATCCTGAAGCTTGCACTTTTGTGACAGTTGATCTCATACAGCTAGGACTAATGAAGATGTGAGGGGTTTTTACAATAAAAGGTGGGGAAATTCATTTCCAAAGTGAGGATGTGGCCAACCAAACAACCTGAATGGCATTGCTTCATGTGCAGTGACAGGACAAGTCAAAAAGGACATAGAGATTCTGGAATCGTTTGGAAAGTAACTTCAGAGGCTAACTTTCAGTCACCAGCAGAGGAGCTAGAAGAACCCTGGCTTTTGAGATGAGATAATACTCAAAGGTAGTTAAACATCATGGGATTTATGAATTTCCTCTGCAGTATGGTATAAAATGGCCAGCCTCATTTGCTTTCCAATCCATGTTCAATGTGAGCAGCTTTCAGTGTAAATGTTGAGGTCAGTCAGGGTCACCAGCATGTGTGTGCTGTTTTATTAACTAAGAAAACCCAACGGTGTTCCATAGGATTCATAATTCATCAGAAGCATAGTTCTAGCCCAGTGACCAAACTTGCAGAGACGTTAACTGAACTTGTGACATTTCCTTATAGTGACTGGCAATAAATTCTGAAAGACGAGTGGTCAGGATATTAAAAATGAGACTTTGCTCTGTACATATCTGAAAAGCAGTAGCTTATGCAAGATTTGATTCTGCTTGTCAGTGAATGTAGGATCTACAGGTCTGGGTAGTGAGGACTCCCTGCTTTTCTTTCAGACTTCCACTCATTTAGATTTTCATGAGTGAGCTAATGATTGCTGCACAATTGTCATTCTTTCAGGAACGTTTCTTTTACTAGTTGGTGAAGGATCATTTTGTACTACTTGCCGAGTACTTACCTGACCGGTGAACAATATTTATATATTCTGGATTCTACATACATGATGTTTAAACATTATTTTCAGCATATTTAGCTGATGTCTTTCTTTAGAAAGCTATTGCCCATAAACCCTTTCCTAATAGCCAAAATTATGAAATCTACATACTGCTTAAATTCAGAATGTATTCTGCTTTGAACAATGTTCTCTTTGCTTTCAACATGTATCTGCTTTTTTTTTTTTTTCAAGGTATATTAAAAGACTTTTTTTTCTCCCAAGGTGAAGAAATGAAACAAATTATTTTAATGAGATACATTTACTTCAACAGAAGTAGTTTCTTCATAAGAAAAATAAATTAAAAGAATAATTGTGCTTTTAAAAGATAATTAATTAAAAACTCTGTGTGATGACAAATTTAACATCTTGCCTGACACATTGAGAAAAAAGAAAGTGCCTGGAATTGCACAAGTAGAATAAAACGTTCCATTTCACAGCAAGGCCAAGCCTGAGTCTTGTAATTATTTCAAAGGGAGTAAAGGTCATTTTCTTTTTGCTACATCTGTATTATGTGAGGCTTCTGTATCAGGCTTACAGAAGCTAACTCATGACCTATTTAGATTGCCCAGATTTCAAAGTCAACTTGTACTGTCACAAATCTGACAAAGTAGACATATTCCCTCTTTAAGTACTCACATACATGATGTCCAAAGCAGGCTTTTTATTTATAGCTCCATAAGACTAGAGTTTGAACTTTAAGATGCCAGTAGCTGGGAGATCAGAACATGATTTGTCTCTTACTTGCTGTGTTAATCCTTTAGGGGAAGAGTTGTTTGTAATTAGATTTCAGCATCTATTTCTTGGGCTATTTTTCTGGTGGGATCTTGTTATATAACTTTGCAGCAGTTTTTGCTTGCATTTTGAGATCAGAAGAATTTTCCTTCTGCTGTGATTGTATTTTAATGCATATACATTCAGCAACACCATGAGTGAGACAGTACCTTAAAAATGCACCTGTGCACAGAAAGTGTGTGCAGAAAATGCATGTATAGCCATCTTGCTGGGCATGTGACAATTTAAATGAATATAAGGCCATATAGGCTTTTAGGCTTTTTTATGACCAGTAATCAAGCTTTATGAACAATTTTGAGGCTGGGTTCTGAATATTCACATTTGCAGATGGTTTATATTTGAAGACCAAAGGTGACATGTCCATTTTCCATCCCTTATAGAGCTCAGAACTTCCAATAAATTCAATAATTCCAATCAATAATAATTCCAATAAAGTCAATAATTCAACAAGGGATTAGGCAGTGTGCTTTTAAGCGTTTGTAAGAAAGGCAGCAGTTATGTGGCTATATTGAAGTGAATAGTAGTCAAATGTATTGTACTTCGCTTGATGTATTACTTCAAGTCTTTGTCTTCTTTCTTGCTGATCCTTCAAGGGGGCAAGCATAGAGCAGGTCAGGATGGGAGGCAGAGGTGTCTGTATGCTGAATTTAGCTACCACCGGCTTAATGAACATGAAATACTCTGCCTGTTTCTCACAGTTTGCTAGCACTTCTAGGCGAGCTCTTACGGCAAAAGTCATTGACATGAAACAAATGATCCAGCAGTTGGTTTCAATAAGAACAACTAATGCAGACCAGGTGGGGTATTGCTGGTTTTGGTTTTTATAAATGGGATCACATAAGACTCATAGTGAGTGAAGTGCATAAAAGGACAGAGCAGACAATGAATTGCTCTGATTTAGCAAATGGACTGTGAGTAGTGGTTAAGAGGAAAACATACAAATGTTAACATTTTGCAGGGTGTCTCTGTAGGATTGGGATGAGCATACCCAAATGATAATGTGGTGGAAATAGATGTGTGGGATGCTGCTATTGGGCTGGGAGAAGTGAGAGTGCGGTTTGTGAGTTGGGAAATGAGAAAGGAGCCTTCAGCGTTCACCTGTGTGGTATAGGGAAGAAACTGTCCTCACATTACAGCTGGAGAGCTTTATTTTTAAAACTGTAATTGTGTTGAGGATGTCTTGAGTAAACAGACCCATCTGTGCAGGGCCACTTGAATTTTAGAGCAAAAGTAATTTGGAACCCCTGTGTTTGACCATTTTTTTCTTGGTTGCTGTGTGTGCTTTCTCTACTTGATTTTTCTTCAGCTGTCCGACAAGAAGGGGTTCGCTATAAAGACTTTGAAATCAGAGTGTTCTGTACACCACATGAATGTCAGGATTTGGAAAACATCTTTGGAGGTTCTGAAACAAAAAGTACTTTTGGAAATGCGGTTGCACATATATAGGTTGAAAAACACAGATTTAGCTTTTCCTGCTCTTGAACTTGCCTCTTTATGCCTCTCTCTTTAACCTTTTAAACTTTGTGATTTTTTTTTCTTGCTGCTTCTTTCTTGGACGTTCTTACCCCCATGTTCTCACTTAAAAGCTGCCGAGAAAAAAAACCTTTCAGGTTGTTGTCTCTATTCAGGGACAGAGCACAAACTTTCAGAGACCGAGATTAGCATTGTACCTGTTTCCAACCAATTTTATTTTGCTTTGAATCTTCCTCCTTTGCTGCAGTGTTCCTGTGGTGGTAGGGAACTTTGATCATGTACTAACATTAACACAAACTGCATTCAACTTTAACCTTCAGATCCACCCGTACTATGATTTTTTTCCCCCACACATCTCATTTTCAGTCTTCCCTGGGTGTAAACAAGCTCATGATTCCAGGTAAAATGGGCAAACTGTGGCTCAGATAGTTAACCCAACAGTTTACATTTGTTATCAAAAAAGTTGTTTTATAGAGGAAACTACTGTGATGTGAATGAATAATTCCTTCTCTAACTTGGTGATTAACTTTCTGAAACTGTTTGCCCATTCTTACCTGTTTAAACTCAAAAGTGCTTAATTTAACATTATTAGCAACATTACATCCTATGTTTTCACTAAGATAAATAATATTCTTTATTGGTAATCTGAACTGAACCTTAAAAGATACTATTTTGCAATTTCTGTGCCAGCCCACATACATAAAAGCAAAAACCTCACAAAAATAAATGGTAAGCAAGATCTGAAGGGGAAGTTTTGTAAGGATGGAGACCAATGTTTTCTTTCATAAGCACAAAGCCTAAACCCAGTATCATTCCCAGAAGCCAACATGATGGATGAATGAGTGGATGCTGAACTCCATTTCCTTTTTCTTTTCCCCTTAGGTTCTGCTGCTTGTGTGTGCAGATTTAGAATGTGTCCCTGGATTCCAGCAAAAGGCTTTTTATATCGAAGAACCATTTCAATTCACAGAGGACCAACCAGTTCTGAAATGTAAGTTATTTTCATATGTTATTATTGTGCAGAAATAATAATTTCTTATTTATTGATATCACTCCTGCCATTTATCAGAAAGCTGGTTCTGTACATAAGATTTTGAATATTGCCACGATTCTTTCAGGGTTCACCTGCATTAATCCTATATCTCTACAGAGTTTTGTCCATGTATTAGTGGTGGCAAAATACTATATATAATGCACTAGGATAATATGAATATTGTAACAACTTAGGATCATCTACTTAAAGTAAATTTACACTGAATTTTTTTATAGTCTTTCTTTTAATGTGGAAGTCGGAGCTTTCCTATAAATATTTCACTATTAATTAATCTCTGAAACTCAGATTTAGAAACTTGTATCTTAAAAGTTTAATTCAAATCAATTGGTGCAAAACAAAGATTTTACATGAAGTTCAGAGGCTGGATGAAGCTTGTGATCATCAATGACAGCAAATTGTTACTAAATGCGTTGTACAACTATTCAGTAATATTTCCAATGACCAGGTGTCACATTATAAAATCCAATCTGGTGCTGTAAACTCAAACCATAAAACTGAAGGAGGTTTAAGATAACACCAGGACTTTTCTTTCAGTCCTGGTCTTAGCTCATTTGAATACTTTGGTGCTACAACTTGTTCTTTCAGTTCTCTTGTGTTGGGACTTGTGTTGGGACTTGTGTCAGAATAAGCTAGTACCTTATCCAATGGTCAATGACTTTGAAGACTTCGATACCAAATACTCTCATTTTTGTAACTTTCAAACACACCAGTATTTTTACACGTGATACCTGTTACTAATAGTTTCTTATGCTTGGTTACTTGGTGTTGAAGCAGAAATTCTTTAGGTATGCAGCATGAGGCAGTAATGCCTGGCTACATACAATCTGCATACAGTATTCACATTCTACCATGTGGTATCATAGCAATATCACTCAAATGCGCACATTTTCCAGTTTCAGTTCCCTCTAGGTATTACTGCTATATGTTGGTATATTCTCCCTATTACACATGTTTGGATGAAAGTATAATTTGTAACAGACTTAACTGGTCAAAACGTCAAAATTAGTTGCCAGGGTCTATTGAAATGGCTTTGTTAAAGTTGCTCAGATGCTAAAATAAACCCTGAGGATAATATTTTTAGTCTAAGCATTTTGATAAATTACTTAGTCTGAGTTGCATTTTCAGAGGAAATTTAGATCATAAGTATTCACAGAGATACAAGATTTGTTGTTCAGTTTGGAAGAGAGATTTCAAATTTCTGATCTCTTTAAGCAATTTTGTTTACTTTGAAATGTTGATTTCAAAGAGTTGATGAGCACATTTTGGCTACTTTGGAACTTTGAGGCTGTAGTGTAGACAGATCTGCTACTGATTTTTGCCTGTCCTCCCAGACACCTAAAGGATGACTTGGCTAAGCCAAAGTTGACTGGACTGCTCTCTGGTGACCCAGCAAATGGCACTGACATGAAAGTAGTGCAATAATTAAGATACCATCATTAATGTGAGGAGGAGGGAAGAGCAGATTTAGAAATGCCTGGAAACAATCTTCAGAATCAAATTATTTTAATAAGCAAACACTAGATCGTTCTAATATGTAATGTTTGACAAAGGCAGGCTGTCGATGCATGATCCTGGTTAATTCAATCACTTGTAAACAGTATGTCTTTCATGCAGCAGCATTAAATGTCTTCACAGTTTCTTCATTTTATCTGTCAACAGAATTGATATTTTTAATTGTCTGTTTGAATACACTTTGCATGCTCCTGCATCTTTTTATACCCATTACCTAAGACTGATGTAATTTAGCAGTTGCATTGCAATGTGAGACTTACCAGGGCTGTGTAAATTAACAGAGCGAATATGCAGAGCAGTCCTATAGCAGGGATTATTTTAGTAGTCTTCAATAAGCCAAGGAGCTCCTTAAGTCTGTTTTGAAGTGCAATAAAATGGTCTTTCTTCTTCAAATCTTCAATTAAATATAGTAGATTCTGTATATTTAATTGCTAGTATCTCCCTTGTAATTAAATATAGGTTATGGCTGATTCTTACGTATTTATTACTTTTACATATGCAATGTTAATTATATTTTACATTTAGTGATGGAAAGAAGAAAAGCCCAAAATGAGGTTACAAAATCTTGTTCTCATTTGTTTCACTTCTTATCAAAACCTACTTCTAAGTTTGTTACTACAATTACCTCAGTACCCAGCCTATTTTCCTATTTTTTCATTTAGTTTTTCTAAATTTGAATTTATTTTTGTTTTTTCCATCATACTCCTTTATCTCCTTATAACTTGTGTTCTCTATGACCACAAGCAAAATCAGACATTGCTTTCCTGCTTCTGGTCTCACCATGTCTTTTCCTTCGGAGCAAATTTTTTACACCAGATGTTCTCTTGATGTACTGGGAGAGAATTCAGAGTCATTCTCTGAAAATGCATGGTGATTGTTTTAACAGTGAATCATGGTACTGGATTTTTCTTCCTTATAACATTTTTGGTTTAGACCTAGGACCATCTTTACAATTAACTAGAAAGGATCATAAAGGCTGCTACATTTTTGATAAAGTGGCAGTTGACAGCATTTAATTACAGCTTTTACACCTTTCTGAAACATTTGTGGCCATGAAATGGTTCCCCATCAGAAATCTTGTCGTTGGCAAGGTGACAGCTCACTGATAGTGACAATGTTCTGTCATGCCAGGCTGATAGAAACTTCCTAATCAGACTCATCAAAAGTGGAAATGTAATTGTGTTACATTAATCATGTTTATACTTAACATACATAAGTCTTGTCTTTTGGGGGTATTTTTAATTGACAATGAATCAAATAGTGCACTTGAAAAATTGAGGCAATTAACATAAAAGCGTTAGGCAACGTGTTGTGCATGCTAAGCTGGGGAATACATTGCTAGTGATTTAAATGTCAAAACAGAGGCAGTTTTGACCCTTACTCAAAGCTTTAATTTGGATGTTAATTAATGGCTGACCTCTTCTGTCTCTTATGTGATAGATTGCATGTTTCAGAGCTCAGGCTGCTTCAAGATCAGGGCTTTGTCTGTCTGCTTTTGGATACTTTTTTATTCTGTGAATTTAACAAAGACTTTTCTATTCAAACACGTTGAAAATCTTTTTTTTTTACCCGTACGATGGGAAATATATTGGTCTGCTTATTGTTAATGTTTAAAAGTAGTTCTTCTGTTGTCTAGCCAAGCTGCAGCCTTCAACAAGCTTTCTTTTGTTCAAACTGAATAAAGCCTGTGGAACAATCAGAGAAGACCATTCCTACTATTACAATACCGTGTGTGTACATGGATCACAGCTCAAATCACACTCAAGTCAAAACATTTCCTATTGATTCTCAGATGATGTCATGGTAGATTTGGGATTTATCACATCCATGCTTTCCACTGATTACCATGCTATTGACTGTGCCAACAGCCTTTTTCTGTGACTGTTTCATGCTCTCAATATCATTGCTGTTACTCTCCTGTTTATTCTGATCCATACACTTGATTCATACACTTTTGATCTCACACACTTGGTATATCTTCCCCCCTTCACTACTTCACCTTGTGTAAAGCCAGTGTGGCAGCCACATTCACCATATTACAATATGCAAAGCCCTCTACAGAATTTTAACATGAGGTTTCACATATAAACACATATTCAGCACTGAGTCTTAGCTCTCAGTGCTGAAGAGTGCAGATTTAGGGTGATTGGAACTACAGTTGGTAGTTGCAGCTTGCAAAAGAACATGTTGAAGTGAGGTGAGGTTTTTGAATTAGTGATTTCTTGCAGGGAAAACTGTTTAAAATGACCGGATAGTAGCTAGATAGCTATGGCTTTTCACCTATTAAGGTGTACATAACTACAGCTCATCCTTGTTGAAACATAATTATGGCTTTTCAAATTAAAGTAGTCTTTAATGCATATTCAATTCTACAAACATCTTAAAATTACTTTCATTTCACATAAATCACTATGCTAAGAAATGTTCTTTGGAAAACGCTGAAAAATTACTTGGTTTCTGTGTTTGGCATGTGGTAGCAGGTTCTACAGAAATGTCTCAACTTCTCTACCCAGATAGCTGAATGCTTTTTATACTCTATATCTTAATGTGCATATACCCATGTAGAGAACTTGAATAGCAGAGCTTCAGTTCTGACACTTATATACATGATTAAGACTAGGCATCTGGGACTCTTATGCCATGTGGACAGAAATATTGGTCAGGATTTGAAGCCAGACCTTAGGGATAACTCTTAATCACATTGCTCTCATTTAAATGGCTGTAGGAAGCCAAACTCATGTTACTAAAATTCCAGGAAATACCTGGAGGCGTGCAAAATGGTTGTAAAATTTTTGAAGTAAATTTTGGAAGTGGCAGATCGGGAACTTTACATGTTCATGGAGGCAGAGTGAGAAGGATCTTCAAAGAGAAGATCCTTCTGCTCTTAAGTATTCAAGGTATTGCTTCTTAGTTGAAGTTTGATATCGAACTCTTACATAGAGGGAGAAAGTTGCTTGCTTACGTATTGCAAATGTGTTGTGACTACGTAATATGGAACATCTTATACGTGTCTCTGAACAGGTGTACGCAGATGGATGTTGCAACATAACAGAATATTATATCATCTGTTAAACTGATTTCACACATGATTAAGGGAAAACAAACCAGGAAAAATTTGTGGTTGAGTGCCAGGTGGTCAGACAGTTGCTTTCCAAACAGTGTGTGTCAGCTTATTAACAGGACCTGAGGGGAAATGAGTTAAAAATAGACTGTTTGATTTTTATGCATATGCATTTAATTAAAGTAGTTTTGGAAAAGGTAGGGCATTACAATGAACAATTGGAAAGAACTGTTTAGTCTCTGAAAAACATCTTCGGGGCTAAGTCAGAATCTCTCAGGGATGTAGTCAGCCCTTGTAGAGTAATGGAGGAAAAGCCATATGAGTTGGTGAAACCTCCTCCTGACACTATAATTCCAAGGTGGAG